CTTAGGAGAAAAGGGGCAAGTGGGTGCTTGTGTCGGCAGATGCACAATCTAGAAGAAGTTAGAAGGTGAAAAGAAGAAAAGTAAAGGCAATAAAGAAAGTGAAAAGAAAAGAGTAGAAAGTAATGGAAGTATTCGTTTGCGGCTGAGTAATGTGAATGGTCTTTGTTTGTGACGCCGAAATGGATGCATCTGTTGGGAAACGTGCTAGTTTAAAAAACTTTTCGAGGGATTTAAATTCATAGATCTTGATTCATTACATAGAGACAAGTTTTATGCAAAAATAAAACATGATGTATCATTCAATTAAAAGATTGAATACTTATATCAAGGTTTGAGTAAACCTTAGATCTCTCCTCTAAAGTGAATGTTCTCACTTATTGTAGATCCCTTAGCAAGATGCATTCTCCTTAGATCTCCATCTTCTTGGTAATTGTTTTACCTTTAGGAATCACTCATATGCCTCCATGAATGACCTTGGAAAACTAGGCTTGTGGGAGCCTCCATTAGATGAGAACATAAACCCTAATTTTCTAGAGAGAGAAAATATATTCCTTTTTCCATCTACTAAAAATCACACCTAAAATATATATAGACCATGTATATTTATAGGCAACATAAAGGTAAAGAAAAGGAAACAACTAATTATTCTCAATCTCTAATTCACATGTCTCAAATCTAATATGATTCCAATATCAAGTTGGGCTATGAGTGAAAATCCATTGGGCCTATTATTTTATTGGCTACAATGAATTAATAATTGGCCCAGTCCATGGACCCAATTCAATTAATTCATAAATTAATTTCTACTCCACTAAAAGAAATTAATTGAACTCCAATTAAATAATAAATAACCTCTAAGTCAATATTACACTTTGACCTCTCTATGCATAATTAGTTATCGGATAAATAAAGCCATCAATCCGACTACTTAATTAATATATTTATTTTGGTACCTTTGATTATTTCTGGCTCGATCACAATAAAACATTTGTTTGACAAAAATAATAATTTAAATAAATAAATATATTATAAATCGTTTTGTCTAAAAATACACGAAGGCCTTCGAATTTACTTTGTGATCAACCATAATCAATACAAAATAAATACAAGTAACAATGATGCAAATATTGAAAATATAACCCTCTAACTATTAATTACATAACTACCCAAAGTGTCGGTCTAAGGATCCCGAAAAATCCGCCGAACAAATCAAAGTAATTATTAATTAATAAAAGAGTCTATAATTTTCTCATACTTAAGAGTCAAATGCCATGACGGTGATAGGGAGCAATTGCATACAACGGCTCTCGCAATATATCTCAACCTAACGCGGATCAAGTTCAAATCTTAATTAATTATGAGTCCATCCATAATTACCGACTATGAACCATTTATGATTACTATTTATATATCATGCATTGATTGCCATTACAAACATATATATAAATATCTCTTGTAATCAAATGGACACTATCAATTCTATAATGAATCGAAATATAATACATTGAATTCACCAATTGTATAAAATATAAATATTTCATAAACGTCAGGAACATATGTCACTTTAATCCAAACAGGAATTTGCTATGCCAGGGCATATAAATCCCAACAGCATCTGGAAGGCTTCAAAGGCGATGGAAGAAGCTATAAATATAGGTGCAACATAACAAGAGAAGGGAAGAGGAAGATGAGAGAATATAGAAGAACATGAGAAGGGATATCGAAAGAGAAAATAGAGAGGAAACATTATGGGTCAAGTGAGGGTCTGTTGAGTGTTTTAATGTTTTATTTGCTATACTAAAAGTGGGTGGTTGATATGTGCATAAACCTTGTTAGTAGTTGAGTGTATTTATCCATCTTTGTATACTTGTGTGTGATGTTGGGAGAATTAATTCATAACTAATGGTATCATAACATAAAAAGGCTTTATCATCAAGTGTATTTGAAATTTTTAATAATTAGGGGTATAATGATAAATTATATTATGTTATTCCTCCTCCTAGACAAAGTGACAGACCTAAAAAAGAAAAGGTGTTGCAATATAATAAAGGGAGATCATATTCGCACTTCACTTTTCTCCAATTGCACTACATTTATCATTTTTTTTTTAAATAAATGACAAGTTAGTCCTTGAATTATTAATGCATAATTCCTTAATTTTTAATGGCATAACTACCCTTTATACAACTTTAATTTATTTATTTTTTGTTTTTTTTTTGTTTTACATTCTTTACTAATTTTTTTTTTTCATTTTTTTTTTTATTTTTTTTCGGAAGTCCTCTCAAAACAAAATAATTTATTCTATACTAATAATTTTATTTCTAGCAGTCAAAAGAGATAATTTATTCCGTGACCCTTTTTTTTTTTTTTTTTTTTTTTTTTGTACAATAGAAAGAGATATTTAATTAACAAAATTGATTTTTTTTCAATTTTGTCAAAAGAGGTAACCTTTTTTTTTTTTAGTAATTTTTTATGGGCTATGTCAAAAGAAATTATTTATTCGATAAAAAAAATCTTTTTTTTTTTTGGTCTTATCAAAAAAGATAATTTATTCAATAGAGATTATTATTATTTTTAATCATCTTCTTTTTTTTACTTTTTATTATTATTATTATTATTATTGGGATCTTGACAACTGAGATAATTTATTCAATAAATATATTTTTTTGGAATTTTTTTTACTTCATGTCAAAAGAGATAATTTTTTAAATGGTTACTTTTTATTTTTTTATCCTGCCAAAAGAGGCAGTTTATTCAACATAACAAATTTTTTTTTTTTTTTTTTTTGGTCCCTTATAAAAATTATTCAAATTTTATTTTATTTTATTTGTGTTGTCAAAAGATGCTTAAAATATTAAAGATTAGAGATAAGAAGAGAAAATATGAAAGAACAATTGTGTCATTTAAAAAGTAATAATTATGTACTTGTAAAGGAGGAAGTATGTTTTGTGCAAAATATTTTATATAAGTTGATATAACAACTTACCCTTTTTGTTAGTAGGTTAAGAAATGTAGCTTTAACTAGTGCAACTTGCATTAGGGTAGTAAGAGTGCAACTTGGGTGGGTTAGATGGGTTGGAGACTTAATCGAGACTCAATTTGAAGTAAGCTCGGGTTGACTTTGAGCTAATGAATGGGGTTTCTAATATATAAACATAATATATATATATATATATATATATATATATATCACGTTCATTATTCGGATTCATCGAGTGTTCATTATTCGGATTCATCGAGTTTTATAATTCGAGAGATGCTCAATTGGACTTCGGGTTGCTTGTCGTTAGTTCAAAAATAAAATTAGAAAAAAAAATCACATAACTCTCCTGTACTATCATTTTCGTCCAAAAAGCCCCCCACTAAAATTAAACACCCCCTGAACTAACAAAACCCATCAAGTTGTCCCCAAATGACAAAACTGCCCTTATTTCACTACCATCAATTTCAAATACACAAATCTATATAAAAAACCCTCTTTCTATATCTCCAATTGAAGGGTTTGGTTCTCTATTGAGAACTCGAAAGCCTGTAATTAAATGCAAAACATATGAATTTGATCAATCGTAACCATTAGACATTAACATTGAATTACCAGATCAACAAGAGGCAGCTCAGAAGCTCATAATCAGTATATATTTCGACATATGTTGTAATATATATACACAAACATGTATACAATTAATTGTTCTTCTAGTTTCATTGTTTCATAGTTGTTTTTCTAGTTTCATTGTTTCATTTGAGGGCATTCTGGCGAGTCGCGAAGGGACCGAACCTATCAATTGATTGAATGAAACATTGAATTGCTGAAGAGGTGGGATTAATTAGACAGTTGGATTAATTACGTTTTAGAGGGAAGAAGGGAACAAAGGCAGGCAATACCAAACCAGCAACACCCAAAAGACATATGTATATTATGTAGAGAAAGAAACTAAGTAAAGAGGGTGAGATAGAAAAAGAGGTTGTCGGATCCCGTCGGTGGAGGCCTACGGCGGCGGCGGTGGTGGTTGATGACATGGTAGTGGTTAGTAGGTGAGAACTAAGAACTAAGCCACCCTAAGGGCAATTTGTAGAGACAGAGAGAGAGGAGGTGGATGGAAATTTCCATGGCCAAAGTTTTATGAACATTAAATTTGGGTTGCAAACTTGATTGTGTTTATTGGCAATGATATATGATTTGAGAAAGGATTAAGGTGGAATTATATATGGGTGTTGTGGATATATATTAAAGCTTGAACTTAATTATATGGTAGAACGCTTATATATATACAGACAGTACACACGCTTATATATATATATATATATATATATATATATATATATATATATATATATTAACATAGATGAACGGGGAAGGGGAGTTGTGGGGGGTATTTTATTAAGAAGCCCATCGCTGCGACACTCTATTTATGATCGACGCCGGTCCGGGGACATGGCTGAAATTTGCAAAGCTTTTCCGTTCTAATTGGTGGCCGCCTTTCCTTTCGCCAGCCACCATCACTCTTTCAGCTCCTCCGGCGATCCCTCTCGAGGAAGTGGTAATGACTCGTACTTAACCCCTCTCTCTCTTTGAATCTGTTTCGTGTGCCTCAGTTGTATGTGACAACTCAGGGGTAGTTTTGTAATTTTATAATAATAATATAAGTTTTAAATTTAACAATTAACTTATAAGGGCAATTTTGTCATTTTGGGGCAACTTAATTGGTTTTGTTAGTTCAGGGTGTTTAATTTTAGTGAGAGCTTTTTGCACAAAAATGATAGTACAAGAAGTTATGTGATTTGACCCCTATAAAATTAAGTTATTACTTTCAAGTTTCAACCCAAGTCCAAATTGCAACGGTTGCCTGTCCCAGTTCGAAAACAAAATTAAGTTATAAGTTATTACTTTCAACCCAAGTCCAAACTGGAAAATTTCGGGCTGGACTTGAGTTAGTCTTGGACCCGTCCGAGTTGCACCTAAAAAAATGCAACAGTCTGGTATATACTGGAAACGGGTGCCCATTTTATCCACAAGGGTATTGAATGTTTGGTGTTACTGGTGTCTGTCGCATTTGGGCCCTCTCAATCCGTAAAAGCTCGATCAGAGAAGGAAACGAGAAAACCACCTGAGCAGAGACTGTTAGTTCGCCGATATCTCAATTGTAAACCCTAGTGAACCTCGATCCGAACTTAGAACGATTCAGAAATATTTCAGGTAATATATGAGTATTTTGGTTATTTTCTTTTGATTGTCCCTGTTTGGCAGCTTAGAAAACTAGAGGAAAGGAAGGTACTGTTTTTCTTTTTCTTTTTCTTTTTTTTTTTTTTTTAATATTATTATTTGGGGTTTATTTCCTTTCCGTTGTTGAATGAAGAAAGCTTTGCCGAGTGGAGGTTTAGGTTTCTCGGGTCCCAAATAGTGAGGTACCAAAGCTCTACAGTACATGTACGGTTGAATTCCCACATTTTCTTATCAGCCAAATAAAAGCATTGGATCTGATACACATCTAATTATGCTATTTCAGTAAAATGTTGGTGTGGTGTCATTCAAATTTGAGTGAAATTAAAGATTGTTGGCAGTGACATTATTTTTAGAGCAGTGGTGTCATTCAAATTTGAGTGAAATTAAAGACTGTTGGCAGTGACATTATTTTTAGAGCAGTTATCCTTCTTGGCCCATAACAATTTACCGAGTTTAATTTGTTTTCCATTCGTTTGCTTGCTAAGAAAACCAAGGAAAAGAAAAAGAAAAAGAAAATTAGGTTTCTTATATTCGTGTTTTATGTCAATTGAATTTATGAAAAATGAAAAACAACTAACCAGAAGTTTTAAGCTCATTTTTGTGGAATTTGCCATCTCATAGGTTCTAAACAATTAAAGAAAAGGGTAAGGATTCAAAATTTTGTTTCTTTTGAGTTCCTCATATATTTTTTTATAGCAAACTAAGATGGCATCAAATCTGGTGACGATGAAATTTATTCATGTTATGTTTGGAGCATGGAATTGGTGTCTTGGAATTGAATTGGAAAAAAATTAGTTCAAATCCTAAACTAAATTTCCTCCAATTCCACTTTGAAGATGCTGATTCCATGCTTCCAAATGCAATGTCAGAAATGTCTGAACACATCACTGCTTCTTTATATTAAAAACTCTGCTCAAGTGTGAAGTTGTGTGATAAATTGATAATAGTTCGGTCCTTTGCTGTTTTTAGACATTTAGGCATTATATTGATGCATTGTGTTTTTTATCATTAGGTTTGAGGTGAACACATGTTGATGGGTCGGGTGGATGGGCTGCCAGGCTCATCAAAGGATTTGCTGCTTTCTGATCCAATGTCTGATATTGATGAAGATGAAGAAGCTGATACTTCTGGGAAGATACTGTACACAGCCTCATTCGAAGAACTTGCTACAAAAATTGTTCTGTATGACACCATTTTATGGGTTTCGATATCTCTGTTGCTGATTCTAGCTTGGGGAATAGGAATCCTTATGTTGCTGTATCTTCCCTATAAAAGATATGTGCTTCAGAAAGATGTTTCATCACGCAAACTATATGTTACTGCTAATGAAGTAGTTTACAAGGTACTTCATTCTACTCGTGCTTATTCATTAGTTTTGGAAAGGGAAAAGGTAGTGTTGAGCTAATTATTATGTTTCCAATTTATTATTTTGAAGGTGTCAAGACCTTCTTATATACCTTTTTGGGGAGCTGTGACAATAGAAAAGCATGTACCTCTGTCTCTAGTTATCGATATCATCATTGAACAAGGTAGAAACTGAAATTATCAGATATTCTCCATAACCTAAACTGTTTGCATGTTGTCTCTATTAAATTTTAATGTCCTATTGACTAGTTTTTATTTATTTTTCGGTGTCATTCACCATTGCCCCTAGAGCATGGACCATGTTGAACAGTATGACATGTGAAAGGTAGCTGATTGAATTCCAAAGGTTAATTACCTGTTTTTTGGCGAAAAACTATTGGTCATCTACGATGTGATTTTACTAACAAAATTTGAAACATGGGCTGAAACAAAAGGCATGAATAAATTGTTGTTGGAACCTCTTGTTTTGTCAGTTGTAAACTATAGAAGGTATGCACTGAATTCTATACTTGCGAGGAAAAATGCAAGTACTTCATTTGATCAAAAACTATAATAGAAACTTACAATGGAAAAAAGCTTCTCTGTTCTTATGAAGCATGATATTGCAATATTGGTCATTTATCACTGCTTTTTTCCATGGATCACTCTATTTTATTTAATTTCTGTTTCTCAATGGATCCATTCATTGTCTCATTGACATATCTTTCTGAATTTATTGGCACAATTTAGAAAAGTAGCATATTTACATGACCCTTCTATAGAAGACCTGTGTTTGTGTAAGGTTAGAATGAGTTGAAGTTTTGACTATATTTAAAATAAAGAAGTGAGATATTACATAGGTTTAAACAAAGGAGTGGGGTGGTGACAAGCAAAGGAGCAGTCGTAACTATGTGTTTATATACCCTTGTATTTTCTTGTGACATAAATTATATATATTTATATGTGCCCTTTGCTGTGCTAATGTTCTATTTTTAAAGAACTCACAGTACAAGTTTGTACTATATGTCCATTAGGTTTTATCACGCTACCCTGTTTGTGCAACATAGCTATGTATTCATAATTAGTTGCACAATAGTCATGTGGTGAACTCATGGCATATTTCTTGTTTCCTCGATCCTATTTGACTTTGATTTATGTAAAGTACAATGTTTGGGGCAAATGTCTCTTTTAAATAAACATGGAGTTTATATGTCTTGATGTTTATAGGATGCTTGCAATCGGTGTATGGAATTCACACCTGTAGAGTTGAAAGTATAGCACATGGAAAAGCAGCACCCGTAGATGAACTACACTTGCAAGGCGTTTATAACCCTGGACTACTGAGGAAGGTGAGATTTCTGTATATCTCTTGCTTTGTGGTCTACCTCCCCCCCCCCTCCCTTCTCCTTATTCTTCTTCTTCTCTCTCTCTTACATACATCAAATATTGTGGAGAACAAGGACATACTTTGCGTGTACCCCAGGTTGTGCTACTGTTTGGTTTCCATTATTAGTAATGGATATAATCGGTACATGAAAACCTTATTTAGCTATATGCATATTTTTGAAGGTCATTGTAACTGAAGCTTCGAAGGTTATGCAAGATGTTGGTAGAAGTTGGAAACCTACTGCTCACTGTGGTGAAGGGGAAATTATTTCTCATTTGGGTTCTCTGTCTGAAGGTTCAGTTGTTACGAGATCACCATCCAAAAGTTGGAAGGTAAATATAACAATGGCAGAACTTTTTCTATTAAGATTTTTTTGATCTCATTGTCGCACAAATGTCTAATCATGATACTGTAAACTTTGGACGATGCTTAATTCCATCAATTATCTGATAACCTCCTCTTCATCTCGTGGCTTTAGCTTTAAGTGGGAAGGTTGTATGAGCTAGGATCTTTTGAAGTGGTTGCAGAAGACTTCAGTTCTTGAACTTTATGCCTAGTGCAGTGAAGAGCTCTTGATGATTCTGCAAATGAGACAGATTTGCAGATTCATCCTGATTTTGTTTTGGATTTATAGCAATTTGATTGCTCATAAACCAGAGGAAAGTGAGAATAATTTATCAGCTTTTCCGAGTTAGAGATTTCCAAAAGGAAAAATGAAAACCGTTCAGTTACTTTCACACTCACATACACATTTGCAAAAACTTGATTGTTTGCTTGAGTATTTACTCTTCTGATTTAATTAGTCATCATTAAAGGACAGTAAAAATTGTGTATATTTTTGTATTTCCCATTCTCTGATTGATGTTCTATCTTTTCATATCTCTGGTATTTTGTTTTTTGTTCTATTCTCCTAAGTTGGAGTTACATTTGATTTTGCCCCTTTATCATGCAGATGATTGGTTCCCCAGGCCTTACTTCAATGGAGCACAGAGGTGTTCTACCTGGGGATTTGCTGTTGCATAAACTTGAAGAAGTTAATAAATCAGTAAAGGTGAGGACCTTTTCCTTTCTGCGCTGGGCATCTGAAACTTCGTGGAAACAAAATAATTCAGCATTGAATTCCATAGCATTTAAGAGTGGTCATTGTGGAAGTCCTCAAGATGCTAACTGAGAAAAAAAGGAGAAACATTTTAGGAAATGATTCATTCCAAATTCTATACAACACACAATCTGATGATCTCATTTTGTTTCCAAGTGTAGCAGTCAAATTCTTGAGTTCTTGGATTACAACCTATTTTATCATAATTATTATCCTTATGTTGTCTTTCCTTTTTTAATGACCAGAAAATCGAGTTGCTTATAGAGAAGTCCCAGGGTTCACCTGAAAGCAGCTAATGGAAGTCAGTTCCTCTCAAGCTACGTTATTCAGGCCTTTGGTGTTCAAGGAACAAAAGGATATAAAATGCGTAGCTATTCCCTCTGTAACTATCGAAATGTGGGAAAGTAGTTTAGTATAGTTGGCTCATCATCTGTTGGGTTGCCTTGAAATTTGCTGTACAGAATCAATGTGAAAAGGAAAAAAAAACAAACAACAACGTCGTCTGGAACCTCAGCCAGTGTTCACAGTTCTGTTGCTTGACAGACGGAGTCCTTTTGTTTCATTTTCTTCTCTTGTAGTGGCAAGAACTTCAACGAACCCTTGTTTTATACTAACCATTTGCAACAGTTTTGGTTCAAATGAAGCATGTTGGTATTGTTTTTCCTAATGTTCATACTTGTTCAAATAGCAGTGTCTGTTTTTATTAAGCAACTTCTTGCATAATCTTGATTTAAGGAAAATATTTCTGTGATACAGTTTGCAGTTGCCTAATTCTTTGGTTTTGTGCCATTTTTTATCTTGATCTGTTTTTGAGATATAGATTTACAGGGCATCACTCATCGTCCTTGCCATAATCCTATATAAATGAGGTCGCCACATAAATTCTCCCTCTCTAATCTTTTCTAGGACATGTCATTTCAAACCGATCACTGTGACAGCAAATGTGGATGTGTGGTTTAGAATACAAGCAACCATGAGATCATTTTGTATAGATCTGTCTCTTCTTTTATCACTTTGCATCTTGTAAAGCCGTAGTACCAACTGTTTCGTGTCTCTCATCCCATGGATGGGAAAGGAGATTAAGTAAAAATGAAATAGAACATCTCAGTCAGCCTTTATCTATCACCATAACCTCCACTTTAATTGCAATCCACATCCATCACCTCCATTTTCTTCAAATCCCAAAACTACTTCTATAATTCTATTACCACGTCTCTATTGAAATCCACATCTATATCACTTTTCCAATTGAGATCTGTATTTATAGTAATCACATCCATCAATATTAACATACCCCGTATGAACTTTGCATTGCAGAAAAATAATACCAAATGATATAGCGTAAAGAACCCATATCATATCGCAAGGCATTATTACCATGATTGCTTTAAATTGACATTTACAAAATAATTTACTCACTATAATTACTGTTAATTAAGGGCTTGTTTGGTAGCCACTCTGTTTTTTTTCTTTTTGATAAACAAAGCAGTGATATTTTCATTTCTGTCAAAAGCAAGCATTTTTTTTTTTTTTTTGAAAGTTGCAAGCATTTGTTGTTGAATAGAAAATATATATATATTCACAAAAAAATGAAAGAAAAAAAAAAAAACAGTAGGTTGTTTTGTACTTTAAAAAGGAAACAAAATTAAGGTGGTAAGAAGCTTCCCACTTGTACTAGAGTGAGTTTGGTGGATTATTTGAAGGTTCCCTTTTCACCCTCCATATATTATAGATATGTGAGGAGAGTGCCTCTGCAAATGTGTGTGTGTGTGTGTGTGTGTGTGTGTGGAGAGAGAGATGAGCAGGAAGAGAGTGTTGGTAGTGGGAGGAACAGGCTACTTGGGTCAGCATCTATTGCAAGACTTATCAGACCCCCAAGGAACAACGCTCTACGATCTAGCATTCACATACAACGCCAACCCTCCTCCCAAGCCTTTGCTCGATGCCATTCCCCATGCCCTCTCTTTCCGCCTAGATTTACGGACTGGGCATGGGTTCGATGCCATTTCACGAACATTTGGCCAGGTCTGATTTTTTATACCATGTTTTGATTATTGGGTGTCTTGGTCTGCTATTCAGTGTAAATTGCTTTGAAGCTTTATGGGTTTTTCTTTTCATTTTCGATATTGGGTATGTTTGTGTTCTTGATTTTCGCACTTCTGTGTTACATTTTGATCGTGGGTATGGTTAATATATGCAATTTCTTATCTCATTGACTAAATTTTTGTGAGGTTTCTGAATACATTAGGAAATGAGGTTACCACACTCCATTTTGCATAGTTTTTGGAGAAATACTTAGAAGCTATGTTCGATAGCATGGAATTGGTGCCTTGGAATTGGAGTTGGAGAAAAATTAGTTCTAATTAATGGTTTTTGGTAGCATTGTAGATGTGCTTATTCGAAGTCTCTTGAAAATTGTTTAGTACAAGTCCATCTCTATATATTTTATTAATGACAGTCAGATATGTTTACAGGCAGGACATGCTGAATGAATTTCTACCGGAATTATGTCAGTAAATGACATGATGTTCATTGTACTAAATTCATTACGGATAAGCAATACTAAGATACAATTTGTTTAAATAGTGAGTGACATAATATTCATATTGCTTCTTGTGATAAGAAGTTGATTTTAGAGAATAAGAGAAGGTTTTAAATTAATTTTTTTCATTGGTAAGAAACTTACACACCCATTTGCCCCTGTGGGGATTCAAATCTTTACCTTCTACTTTGGGAGGTAGAGGAGATACCACTAGGCTACAGTCCTTGGTGAGAGAAGTTTCTTTTTCTCGTTTAACTATTAGGGAAGTGTTTTCTTCCACATTATGGTAGTATATCTTTAACTTTATTCAAGTGTGGTATCCATCTACATCCTGTTAGTTGAGATAAATTTCAAGAATCTGAAATCTTTAAGCCTGTTTTATAACTTTATACTTCCAAGATACTTTTATATAGGCTTAATCGTTATATTGTAATGTTTATAATATGTCATACGAAAAGTAAAATCCTTATTTCCTTGTTTATGTGCTGATAAGTATTTAATTTTGAATTCAAGCCTCATGTGGTGGTCAATTGTGCCGCACTCTCTGTACCTCGTGCCTGTGAGATGGATCCTGCAGCTGCCTTGTCTATTAATGTGCCTTCTGCTCTTGTAAAATGGTTATCAAGCTTTCAGAGGAATACTTTTCTGATTCATCTATCAACTGATCAAGGTAAAGCATGCCAAACCTGTTATAGTGTAATACTTACATGCTTCATAGGTTAAGAGCCTTGCTTTCCCAAGTTTGATCTGGATGATAGCTCTTATAGGTTCATTTAACTCAAGTTAATGGCAAATTTGCTTGGGTCAGATTTATTCTATCAGAGGACGTGATGCTTAAGTTAGCTAGAAATAAACAACCACCACCAAGCATTTTCCCAATTATTTGGGGTCGGCTACATGAATCCCATGTTTCCATTTTGGCTCTATTTAAGGCCATAGCCTTAATCAATCCACATGCTATCATATCTTTCTTTACTAACTTTACCCATGTTAACTTTGATCTTCCTCTTCCTGTAGTATTACCCTCAATGTGGACTATGTCACTTTTCCTAACTAGCGCACTTAAAGGTCTTCTTTGCACATGTCCAAACCATCTTAACCTATTTTCTCCCATTTTATCTTCAATTGGTGTTGCTCCAACCATTTCCTGAATGTGATCATATCTAATTCTATCCTTTCTAGTCTTACTGCACATCCATCTCAACATTCGCATTTCTGCCACACTCACTTGAAGTTCGCCAGAAAAGAATTTTAAAAAAGGTTTGGCTCAGCTCTGAAAGCATTAAGCAAAATTACATGTACATATTGCATAATATAATTATGAGTTGTGTACTAACTTCAATTATTAACTCCTTAAGTTCATCTATTATGAACATGAAGAAAGTGAACCCATTTCCTACAGTAATATTCTGCAGCACAAATCCATATCAAGTTTCTTAATAAATTAGCTACATGGTTAAAATTTTCTAATTGTAGATGAGATGTCTTGATTTGGATTAATGCTTTATTCAACCACTACTAAGATGTTCATAAGGGGATGTCCTGGTTAAAGCTATATCCTGCCACTTCATGTGGGTACGTGAATTCTTTTTGTACCCTAAAACTCTACTTAGAGGCATGTCTTCTTGTACTCCAATTCACAGGTCATACTTAGGCCTTGAATATATATATATATATATATTTTCTTTCAAAATGCTAACAGTCAAAGGAATAATTTATTAATTTCGTTGTGTTGTCTCAAACTCTGACCATCTTCCTTTTCTTACGATTAATAAACTCAACTGAATTAGGTCAATTGGCCAAAGGATTTACAATTTGGCACAGTTATTCATAATCCTTTGTATTTACATCAATACACATTGCCATATCTTATCTTTATTCAGCTGGGATAGAGCTACATCATCATCTTGCTTTCCTCTGTTTGAACTGCTATATTATTAATGTTGCATCTCTTGTTGTGGCTGGATTGAGACTTATATAACTTTACCACCAGTTTATGAAGGGACAAAGATCTTCTACAAGGAAGAGGATGAAACTGTTCCTGTGAATGTTTATGGAAAATCCAAAGTGGCAGCAGAGCAATTTATTTCTGCAAACTGCTCTAATTTTGCAATTTTAAGAAGCAGTATCATATTTGGGCCACAGTCTGTCTCACCTGTTCCAAAGTCGCTTCCCATTCAGGTGCGTAACCACATACTACTTTTGTGACTTCACTAGCTATAGTTTGTCTAGCTACCTTAGAAATTATATAGAAGAATAATTTACAATAGACACTGGTCTGCAAATTCTCATTTCAGCTAGACACTGGTTGAAAAAGAAAAGTTAGAAACATGAAAATAAAGCTAAATAAAAGCACTAAATTGGTATCAATATATATATATATATATATATATATATTTATATATTCATTGGCAAGAAACTCACGCACCTGTTTGTCCCTACGGGGACTTGAACCCACACCTTCCACTTTGGGAGGTAGAGGAGACACCACTTGGCCACACAGGTAATTGGTATTAATATTCAAACGAGAATAATTTATAATCCTTTGATAATTATCCTCATTTCCTTTGACTTATTAGTTACACTAACTTTAGGTCTCCCACAACTCCTCCTCCTGGCATGGCATGGTAATAATAGTTCTCTCATCAAAACATGCTACTGAGATATACTGCATTACAGTTTATACACCTATTTACATATAAAATATTTTGGGGGTGGATTAGTAGAGAGTTTCAAATAAAAATTCATGGCTTTATGTCTATAATAATTTAAAATGAAGATCGAATAAAGCAGATCTAGTTCATAAAGCCACTGCTGCTCAGATGAAGTTTACTTAATTTAAGGTACCACTAAAGGTCTTGTATGTCGGAATTGATAAATATTTAGATTTGCTGAATTTCTGGATTTTCTAGCTACTTTAGTTGGACCGCTATCTTTCTTCCTCGGTTGTATTTCCAACTGAAACTGGGTTATAAGTTTCTCTAGAAGTTAGTTGCTGTAATGAAAACTGATGACATCATAGTTGTGGGATCTTTTGCTTGAAGTAAATGGAGTGAGAAACACGTAATGGATGCAGCGATTGGAATGAATCAAATTTACTGAATAAAATCAGTTTACATTGACAATATTATCCGAATATTGAGAAGCATCAACAGTTGAGCAAAGGAGATAAATTTGGTTACAATGAGTGAGTTATGGAACATGTGGACAATTGAAAACTGAAAGCAAATGTTTTCATGTTTTATCATTGTTTTTGCTGATGCTCTACCTTTTAGTATGATAGTCATAATATTATTCGTGCTTGCTGCTAGGTTGATGGAATGACTCCATTCTATTAGATATATTTGTGCCTTGAAATGTACGAATAATGATAGTTTCATACCCTTTTTAATTATTTCAAATACATTTAATAAGTAGGACTTTTTTATTACTGGGATTTGAAGTAATGAACCATGCCTACCAAATGATGCAGTGGATGGACAACGTCCTCGCTAAAGGAGATAAAGTGGAGTTCTTTCATGACGAGTTCCGTTGTCCAGTCTATGTCAAGGATGTTGTGACTATCATACGAACATTGGCTAACAGATGGATCTCAGGTTTGATATTCTGATATTCATTCTTGTTGGTAATGCATTTATACCCATGTATATGTTGATTTGCAAACTTTTGGTTATATACCTCTTCCTTCATTTGTTTGCCCTCCAAAGTCAACAGACATTCCTAGGAATAAAAAGAATAGTGCTATTAATTCTGATCACAGAATTTTTGGACACTCCAAGAAATACTTGTTTCAAGACTAGCAAATGTCAAATATACTTTCTAATTAGATTCTGCTACTTGATTAGGGTGCTGGTATGTGTGCATTTGTGCGTTTGTGGTGTCTTAACATTTCTCTCTCTCTCTCTCTCTCTCTCTAAGGAAACATCTATATTGTCAAATTGTCCAATTCTTTTCCAGTATATCCTGGTGAAGAAGTGTCTTTGCGACAATAGTGGGTTTAGGATGGCTACTTAATTAAATAGATACAAGAAAAGGGGGAGCAAATTTTCAAAAAGTGTGCCAGGAAACTCCTAGTAAATAATGAACTCCCCTTGTTGGATCAGATAGACTGCTTGTGCAGTTTTTTTTTCAGTAAGTAAAACTGCTTGTGCAGTTTAGGCTTTCTTATATGTTGATTTAAGGACTGAAAATGTATGGAAGGGCATTTCTAGCAAAAGTTGGTCTTTGAGTCTTTCCTTGCTAAAAATGCCAGATACAAATAAAAAAAGAGTCACAGTTTGCATACTTCTTTTTATTCCCATTTTGTGGTGTCTAGGTACATTGCATCTGCTGCATTTTCTATAATGTAACTTGTGAATTTCTCATCTAATAGAGGGTTCAAAAATCAAACTGTGTGGTCTTGTGTTGTAGAATCATATTTTGTGGCAACATCTTATATATTTTTAGTCCCAAGATTCTTAATGGTTTCACCATAAAATCCTCTTATGGGGTTCATGTATGCCATAATTTACCATATTGATACTTGTGCAATTTTACTCTTGCTGGCAATGAGATTATAAAATAATTTTTGCATTCTTATGGTAGTAAATAAATTATTCTCTTTCTTCTGAACTTGGTTTCGCATCTGTGTTAAAGCTTGTGGTGTTCCTGGTGTTTGTCTCAGAGGATAAGCAAATGCAATTGCTTTTAAATGTTGGAGGGCCAGACAGAGTGTCCCGTGTTCAGATGGCCGAGGCTGTGGCACTTATTAGAGGTTACGATACCTCATTAATCAAACCAGTCTCTGCATCATCAGTACGTCCACCTTTAATCCCGATTCAATACTTTTGTTTAACAATATATACAGCTTTGCTGCCATGTCGTTTTTATACCTTTGTCATGGCTTCTTGGTTTGTTGTTCATCAATCATATTTATTACCCCTGTTCATATTTATTCTTAGATGCAAAGTTAATACATCAGATTGGTCAATTACATAATTTGATCACACAATGTACTTTCTATTCCATTTCCAATGCGCTTTCTTCCATGTGCCTAACAATAGTAAACTGCAACCTTGATTTTTCAGATTGATCGTGGTGTAAAGTCCCCATCTGATATATCCATGGATATCACTAAACTGGTTAAAACGCTAGATTCTTCTCCTATTTCATTTAGAGATGGTGTCAGATTGACGCTTGCAACTGAACCTAGTTCTTGATGGTGTAAAACTCTCATTCTTGTATATTGCTCGCTCCCTCATCGTCGCAGTGTTCCATGTCAGGCCAGTAATGTTGAGTCACAACTGTATCACCATGTTTGATTACTTGTATAATTGATGGACTTTAGTTCCATAAAAGAGAGAGAGAAGTTTTGGTGCTTGCATTGTGGAGCTTAATATGTAAACGCATTCCCAACAAATAAGATGTTGAAAAACATCATGATATTTTTTGCCAAGTAATTTTTTTAGAGAACTAGCTGGTTGTAAACACTGGCCATTGAAACTATGGTTAAGAGCACACACACACCTGTGTGTAATGTGTAGTTTTAGTTTTAGATTGGAAACAGCCTCCCTATGGGAGGCAAGGCCGTGTACATTTGACCTTCCCCAAAACCTGAAATGACCGGAGACTCGTGCACTGGACTAGCCCTTTATTGGAGAAGAAGATAATAATATCTTCCCTTCTTTCACTTTTCATACCAATTTCTGCAACTTTAATAGCACTTAGCCCTCTTTGCAAATCACCCTCGAGCATCTAACAAGCAAGCATAGCCAAAAGTTTATTACTGAAAACAGGAAAATCATGGAATCGTAGGAAAACCGCGGCGAAGAGGATCAGTGGTATGAATTGTTCCATTATGCTAAATTATGCAGAGCATACAAACCCCTGGAATTGATTCCAATTTGAGTGATCTAGCAGATAGCGTGCACAAGCAGTCTTCATGCTTTTGCGGACTGCTTTTTTTTTTAGTTTGAATATTATTGCCAAATCTATTCAAAGTTCAAACTGCCTTTATGTTTTGAACTTTGGATATGTGTCTCCTTTTTATGTATTCTGTAATAATATATCTTCTCAGTAATATACATTGCATAACCTAATAATAATTGATTTGGCCTTTCTCCTAATGTGTTATTGTCAACTTCATTTAATTGCTTTTAAGATATATTCGAAGTTCGAACCACCAATTAAATGATGGATGGTTCATGGAAGCAGAAGAATCCAAAAAATAATGCCTTCTAGTCTTCTTCTATGCTCATTCATTGCAACAGGCATCGTAGTTCCCGTAAAGTAAACGAAAACACGAGTTGCCAAAGTTTGGAATCAAATTTTAGATCATAAAAGTAAGTGTGATTTTTTATTTATTTTCTAAAATAATATTAGTAAGAAATTCACACAATCCTATGTTCTATGACGTGAACTCTCGAGTCTCAATCTTTTTTTTTTTCTTTAGAAGTTAAAAATAAATAGATCAATAAATAAAAATTAAAAAAAGAAGTTAAATGAATATGTGAGTTTGGTATAACTTGTTGTATTACAGGAATGTTGGCTCGTGTCAAATCGGTCTAACTCGTGTCGAGTTGGCCTTGTTGGCTCGTGTCAATCGGTGTAACTCATGTCGAGTTGGCCTTAGCAATGCTACTCTTCTCTGGTCGAAATAAGCCAAGGGTATTAACAGCTATCTTATTATGCCTAATTGGGTGAGGTCCGTGTTTGCCATTGTGCCTAATTGACTCGTGTCAACAAGCAACAGATATTTTCTTTGATATTATTTTTTCGCAGCTTACATTCCTAATTGGCTTGCCCTACTAACTTAGCAAGATGACAAACTTTTAATTTTTTGTAATTTAAAAGAGAAAAAGGGTAAATTAAGAATGTTAAAAAAAAAAAACCATACATTGGATATTGGAGGCGATATTCACTCCCTTTTTTTACAATTACACTATACTTTTAAAGGGAATGAGTATCATCAGTTTTATAAATAAATATATTTTTTCAAATACCGTAATTATCCTTTTAATTATTTTGGCCTCCCTCTTTCTCCCCAATTAACATTTTGAATCACTTTTAGGCTCTTTCAATTTTGTTCTCTACTTTGTATTAATTGTCTTATTTCTCTTTAGGGTTAATATTTTATTTTATTTTATTTATTTATTTATTTTTTATTTTGTTTATATATTTTTTTTCATGTTGTGTGCTTTGAGTTTAATTTGAATTTTTTTTTTTCCCTTCATCTAATTGTCTTTAAATATTGAAGTTTTTCTTGTTTATGATAAATAGGAATTTTGTACAAAATAAAAAATAAAAAAATAAAAAAAAAGGGAGAGAGGGAGCTGGGTGCCGTGTTTATGATGTTTGAGCTTTTGTACCTTTAATCAAGTATTTGTATCCTTATTTCTTGTTTCTACTTCTCTTAAATTCAATTGAAACACAATTCTAAGCCATAGACCTCACTTCCAATCTTTTTCTTTTTCATTTTTTTCCTGAAAGATTAACAATATAATATTAATTGAAGACAGCAGAAAAAAGAAAAAAAATAATTCATTCATTGCAACAGAATTATTGAAGAAAAGTATTCTATAAAAAGAAGATTTTTTTTATCAATTATTTCTATAATTGATATAGAAAAAAAGTCTAAAATTAGTTAGTTTACTTAATATGTCAGGTAAAATCTAGGAGGACAATTGGTTTATTACCACGAATAAGTAAAGGAGGTGAAAAATAGAAAGTTTACAGTGGAAAAAGTAGTTATGGTGTGATAAAATAAGTAATGATGTATTAATTAGAAAGAAATAGTATATTATTTAAAAAGAAAAGTGAAGTGCAAATATAGCCTCACTTGAATTGAGACAATTATTTTGAAACGGTCAAAAATAAAAAAGGTACACATTTTTGTAGGTTGATGGGAGTATTTATATATATATATTAAAAATAAAGAACAAACTCAACTAGTTGATAGCTAAAAAAAATAAATGAGTGTTGTTCCTCCACAATCGCTCTCCTAATTGGTCACAATTTCTATATTTATACATTCATTTCTAAAATGTCTCATTCCTTAAGAGAAATTAAAAATATAAACTTTTAAGGCAAAAGTGCCAATCTTTTCTTAGATTATTTTCTTTCCTTTTTTTTATTTGTCCTTTAACTATATATATATATATATATATATATGTTATATATGAATTTACAGTTGAAAAATAAGAATGGTTTAATTAGCAAAGAATTGGTTCGACTTACCTAACAATATATACATATATATATATATATATATAATGTATACATATTTATATACATAAACAACTATATATAGTGTGTGTATATATATATGGATTAAGTGAGGAAAGAAAAAAAAAAAAAAGAAAAGAAAAAAACTTATATGGTATATGAACAAATGATAACTTAGAGAGAAGAAATGATTAAAAGACATTTTTGTTTTAAAAACTTATATTTTTAATTACTAATGATCATGTAAATATAAGAAATTGTGACCAATTATATACGTGTTCGTTGATTAAGTGAGGAGAGAGAGAAAAAAGAAAAACGTATACGATATATGAATAAACGATCAACTTACACGGAGGACAAATGATTGAATGGTTAAAGGGCATTCTTGTTAAATTTATATCTAAGTAATCCCTCTGATTAAATAAATAAATAAATAAATAAGACAAAAGAATAATCAACTTTACACGAAAAAAACCTCTTCACACGTGGGTTTGTGTCATTACGGCGAAGAACTCATGTGCTCCCAAGACCATAATAAGTTGTTTCTCGATTTCCACTATTGTCGCAGAAAGTCCAAATAAGTCATACTTCAAATTTCGATCCCCGCCGGTAAAAACACCGAACACCCCATCTTCAGTGTTCTCATCAACACCTGAACTCCAACCTTCCCCAGTAACAACTGTCAACGTGCTGAATTCTGACTAGTAGCCACTTCGTCTGACCCACACTCATAAACCTAGCATTTCAAAATCCCATATATGCCCCTCACTGCCCTCCTTTTAATCGGGCAGATCAATCACCAATCAAAGTCGCATTTCGAACATTCCCTCCCGTTGATCGGCCTACACTCACTGCCCGTGCCCGTAAATCTCGGGCAACTCTAAGTCCAGGTATCGTCAGTCTCTCAAACACAGCTTCTTCAACTCTTCGTACCCTCCAAGACTCAACCAAAGTGTGAAAGAAAGTACCAAATCAGAGAGACATCCACATCTACATATATATATATATATATATACAGACTTATATATATAACATCATTCGTTTTCATTTACTTTCAACACAATGTTGTGAAGAAGACATCAATCGGGATTATATATTATAAGTGGAGTCAGAGTCAGTCGTTGCTCTGATCTTCAATCTCGAGTTAGTTGGTTTTGTGTTTCGTTATTGATTTCTAGGATATAAAATGTGGAGACTTGCTCGATCTGCGGTGGCATCAAATCTCCGTCGGTCACGGCGGTTCTCGACGGCTATTCCTGGTCCCTGCATAGTTCATAAGCGTGGAGCAGATATTCTTCACGATCCGTGGTTCAACAAGGTCGATTTCTATCTTTATTTTGTGCTCATGCTTGTGTTCTTCAATTTGAAGTTCGCTCGTTTTTCTTTGCAAGTTAAGAGATGATCTGAGTAAATTATTTCAAAATTTTATTATCTAACGCAGGCATTTGCACCAAATTTAATTCAAGTTGTTGATGCGAAACTGAGTAGATTTTAATGCTTTGAGTTCTTGTTAGATTTACAACCTTGTAGTTTTGTGAATTATATAGGTTTATGTTGTTCTAAATAAGATCAATTTATTCAAATGAATGGGCGTGTCTTCAAAATGTCAATTTTTGTTCTTTTGATGTTTAGATTTATTTTTGTTTGGACGATTAGAAATTCAAACTGGCCTTAAATTGTTGCCAATTGTTGTACAAGTTTCAACTCTACTGGATTCTAGTAAAGACCAACTAAAGATGAGCCCAAAAAAAAAAAAAAATGGTATCATTTTTTTTTTTTTTTTTTTTTTCTGGAATATCCAATAAACTATTTAATCATGCTTTAACTAAACTACATTAATTGACTTTTGTTCTAGAATTCTAGCATTAGAAGAAGCCTTTACATTACTTTACAAGCACCTTTTCAGGTTACTGATTCTCCTCTACAGCCCCTTTTAGGTATTAAATCTACCTTCTTTTGTTGACAGGCGAAAATAAGACCTGAATTATGAGCAGAATTAAATTATTTAATCATGCTTCAACTAAATTAAGTGACTTTGTTCTAGACTTCTAGCATTAGAAGAAACCTTTACATTACTTTTCAAGCACTTTTTCAGGTTACATAATTATTAGTAGTGTTGAAGCAATAATCTATCGGGAAAAGGAAAAAGAAACGGTTGCCTATATGCAAGGAGACTTCTTAAGAAGAGTTGTGTCCTTGTCAGACAGTGCTCTCTTCCCTCTGGAATGTGTTGGAAATGCTCATAATGTGTTTATGTTCATCAACTCAAAAAAGGCTTGAGTGCTTCACCCAACACAGGCTTCATGCTGACAAAGGTTTTACATTGGCTATCAGCTACCTAATGAAACACTGCTTTTCCCGAGCTTGAGACCAGCTGTGTAATATAGTATACACTAAGCATGAATATGTGGAGTTGGTGTCTAAAATTTAAAAAGAGAAAAAAATGGATATTAATATATTATCCACATGGCTGGATTAGTTCAAGCATGCAACGGAAATGTTTGGATAAAGAAATAGCACAGAGTCGTAAAGACAAAAAAAAGGATAAAATTATAAGAGTTGTACACATAATATAATAAATGCATTATGAGAGTTGCACTTCATCTTCCAAGTTATGCAGCTTTTAGTTAAACTTGTACACATGAATCAAATATATATTTGTTTCATCTTCCAAGTTTGCTGAATGTTAGTATAATATTTTGATAAGTGAAAAAGATTTAAATCCAGTGTTCTACTTTTTTTGTTTTTCCTGAATAAAAGAACTTGAATGCTAGTATAATATGGAAATAGTATTAATATACTTCCATGTACATATCCTAATTTTGTGTGCTTCAAGGATTAATGTTTGATTTTATTCTAATGAATTCTGTAACAGCAGTCAATTGAGCATTTTATGTTTGAAATAGATCAATCAAACTTATAATCACATCTGGGAAAAAAGGAGCAGTGATGACTAATGATATCATATCAATTTCTTTATTATTATCCCCTCCTCTTTCTTCTGTTTCATTCTTGTGTGTGGATTTTTCAAGAGCAGGACACTGGCTTCCCTTTGACAGAAAGAGATCGGCTTGGCCTCCGTGGTCTCCTCCCACCTCGTGTGATATCATTTGAGCAGCAATACGCACGATTTAGTGAGTTTGGCATTTTATTTTGTTTTTTTATTCTTGAAGCAGTCATTTCAAAACTCTTGGAAATTTGTATTCTGCATACTATAGTTATCCTATCCTAGTTTCTGTTTTAGGGCTAAAAGTTCAATCAGATTTACATAATTAATTTTATACTTGGATGATAACATAATTCAAGATCTGAAAGACATCTGTAATGGATCTTTTTTCTAGCTATTTGCAGGTGAAAAAATACATTGTAAAATCATTTTAACAAATCAAAGAACATTTTCACATTAACTGATGTGTACAAGTAAGGGATTTATGCCAAGCTTGTTGTTGGAGAAGTATCTACAGTATATTTATGGGTGCTGGATGGCACTTGTTAGCTATTGCATTTCCTTCATTTAAAGTGTCCTCTCTCTCTCTCTCTCTTGTCTGTGCTTGTTGGGCCATGCCCAATTTAGTTGGAGGTACTTATCAATGGTGTATGAGAAATTTAAAAATTTTAATTGAAGATTTCCTTTTGGTTTACCCGAAAATTGCTTTATTATGTGTTGGTTTTGGAAGAAGAGTTGCTTTAGTAGCAGTGGAAGCTTTTGTTTTATATATTTTTTCTGCTCATAAGGGTGCAATATAAGGTTGTATGTTTGAATAGAGAAATTCTTAGCGAAGTATTTCTTATTCCCAGTAAGTGATCGGAGAAGATATATCATCCAGAGAGTATACGAAAAAGGGCTGATACAGGTATCATAAAGGGGAATGCCCAAATCATGAAGGCATCTCCGTTAATAAAGGATTTGTATGTCTTGTGAAGGTGACAATGCTTTTTATACAAACGGCCACAAAGTTTACTATCTGGATTGATCCACTCCCATTTAGCTCTTCCCTTATTAGGCTCTTTAACAATGCCTTTAGATAATTAGGAGGGAAAGGAGAAAAAGATGGTAGCATTAGTTATTGAAAAAATAAAGGAAAGGAGAGGACAATTTAATCTCTCCTCATGTTTAGGTAACTCTGGAGGGGAAAGAAAGGAGAGGATTGTGGTGACCGTTCATCATGGTTGGGAAAGTTAGTGGAGAGCAAATAAGGGAGAGGGTTGTTTTATGTTACGAGTGTCAAGAGCAAAGCTAAAATTCACTTGTTACAAAAAATAAGACAAACCGGATAAGTACTAACTCTCCCGTCTTCTCCTTCCAAATCCTCTCACTTTTGAGAGGATAGCCAAAATACAATTCAAGGAGTAAGGCTCTCCCTCCTACATTTCTACCTCCAGTTGCTCTCCTTCCAGTCTCCTTTTTCTTTTTTCTTTTTTAAAAAGCACAATATAAGCTTTCAATCTTCTTCTTTCCTCTCATTTCTCTCCAAATCTCTCAATCCAAATGCAATGTTAAAGTTATGCCGAAGATAGCGGAAACAATGAGTTCAGCAGTTTGCCACCAAGCATAGAAATACACATTTAAGAATATTAAAGTTTGCTTTCATCAGTGCATAACACCAGGCAGACAACATTTTAGACTGGCCTTTTTCACTGTTGTGCCTAGACACAAATTTTCCATAACTTAGTACATCAATTGGAAGGATTGGTGGGTGGCAAATACTGTCTTATGGGAAGGGACATGATTTGCACCTTGAGGAATATCTTTTACTTCGTCTTCTGACATTTTCTTCAACAAATACTGCACCAGTAAAAGATCGTGGCAATATCAATTAGATAATATTGTGATGAGCACCAAAGAGCTCTTGTGATGGCAATATTCGTCCACAGTTATCACCTCTTGCTAACCTTCCCCACTTGGCCACCAAACCTACTAACTTATAGATCCCATCTTGTCAGATTACAAGGTGACATATCATATTACTAGTGACACTGATATCAGAATAAATAGGAAGACAGATTTTAAACATTTTCGGGTATCTGTAGTGCTGTGAGGGGAGAATTCCATGATGGGGTGCGCGAAAGCTACAAGTTGCCCTTTATAGCTCATATAGGGCATTTGGTCTTATGACATCCCACTGCACATAGAAGAGTCCAGTGCAAAGTTGAATGCATAAATAGCAAGAAATAGACCAGAAAACCAGAAATTTTCCGCGATGTATTTTAACATTATTTCCTAGAGTTATAAAGACTTCTGATTAGGTTCATTGAAAAATATTCCTTGCATATGAGTTAACCGGAATAATATACCTCATGCGAACACTCTCCTTTACTAGAACATTTTTTTGTCACTTGATGTAAATCAGCCTTCTGCCTTTTGATGGGATCTTCTTCTTCTTTTTATACTTGTCTTTCAATTCACAGAGCTCTCTCAAAATAATTTGTTTCTAAAGGTGATGGCCTTATTAATTATTAATACTGTGATTCTATTGTTTGTATTGTAGTGGAATCGTTTCGGTCACTAGAGAAAAATACACAAGGCCAACCAGATAGTACCGTGACCCTTTCAAAATGGAGGATCCTGAATAGACTGCATGACAGGAACGAGACACTATACTATCGAGTAAGTACAGTGGCAAATACCAACTTATAAATGTTAGGCGCTTAAAAGTTTAAATGTAAACCCTTCTTTTCTCTTTCAGGTCCTTATTGATAACATTAAAGACTTTGCTCCGATAATATACACTCCTACAGTAGGATTGGTATGTCAAAACTATTCAGGTTTGTTTAGACGCCCACGTGGAATGTATTTCTGTGCAAAAGATAAAGGGGAGATGATGTCCATGATCTACAATTGGCCCTCCCATCAGGTAGTACATAAATCTCATTGATTGATGCTTTCCATTGAATCAGTAAAGCTTGATCGATGTTTTTTTCTACTGTTTTGTGATTCTACTTTACTGTTTTACTTGATTGATGCTTTTCATTTTTTTACTCTTCCCTACTTGGGTTATACTGTTACAGTAACTATTCAATAGGAAGGGAAAAAAAGAGGATGTGAACCGGTTAAAATGAATGAGAAAAAAGAGGATATGAAGCAGTAACGCTTGAAAATAAATAAAAAATAAAAAAAGAAGAAAGAAGCTAACTGTCCATTTGGGTAGTAAGCAATGGGTACGGATGTGATTACTAAGTGTTAGCTGTTAATTTTGGTAGCTGGATAATATTACCCACCTGAAACAATAACTAATGTAGGAGCGTGGTTATCCTCAAGTATTAATTGCGTTCACATCATATTTCAAGCATGGATTGTTGGCATCAAAACTCTTAATGGTATTCGTCATACGATAAATACCATGAGTATTTCAGTGTATAGAATTAACAATATTCATGCTGATAGTTTACTATGTCATTAATATTGAGCTCCTGTGTTTGCCATATAATTAAATGGTTGCATTCTGCAGTTGCAGCACTAGATTATGTCTCCTTTGCGCTAAACATATGATGTTTTTACTTTTTCTTCTCTGCATTTCAGGTTGACATGATAGTGCTGACGGATGGCAGTCGTATCCTTGGCCTAGGTGATCTGGGAGTTCAGGGAATTGGAATAGCCATTGGAAAACTTGATATGTATGTTGCAGCTGCTGGTATCAACCCACAGAGAGTATGCTCCACTCATCTTTTTATTTTATTTTATTTTTATACGAGCATATATGCATAATTTTTAATTGTATTTTATTTTTATACGAGCATGTGCATGTCTGCACACGTAAACATGTATGCGTTGTATAGTATATATGCATAATTTTGTGCATCCATACCCGTGCACTTTTGTGTGCATGAGCAAATATATGTATTTGATGCCAAGTCGACTCTGGATATTTACTGTGCTTGATATGGTTTACAGCACATTATTTTCTAATTATGGACAAAGAACGTTAAATCGTGTGCTTGCTCATATGTTGGCAATATATATACTATCAATACTTTATAACCATAGTTGACTATTTTCATACATTTAGGTATATATAGGTTATACAGATGAGTGCATATATATGCATTATAGATAGAACCAAGACAGAGTGGACATCATTTTCATGTAAATCAGACTTGAAAGATATCTTGACATTGATATAAATAGCTTAATATTTCAAATCCTAAGTTCAATGCTACATTTTCTGTTTCAATTTTTTATTTAATCCTACCTTTGTTCTATTTTCTTGTTTAACTTTTTTATGTTAATGTACATATTATCTTTTCTGACAGATACTCCCAATTATGCTTGATGTTGGTACTAACAACCAAAAGCTTCTTGATAATCCTCTATGTGAGTAGAATATTGACACTTAAGAGTTGCTCCATATTTGCACAGTGGTTCCAATATTTCTTTTTTCTCTTTAATTCTTTAATTTGCTATTTGTTTTCTTGATGTTGGGGCTAACAATCCAAAGTTTCTTTTCTTTTAGTTGTTTATGTTTCATATATGGTTACATGTAGTTTGGATTGAATATATTCAATTTGATTCACTTCATCTTTTTATTTTCAGAAGCCAATTTGATTCTTTTGCCTTTTACTGCAATAAAATATTCTCTTTCTTACACATTGTGATAATTTTCAGTGACATCGGATGCCTCTCTCTCTCTCTCTCTCACACACACACACACACACACACACATGCACATGCAGGAAAAAAGAAGTTGCAGTGATTCACACATCTTCATCATTTGCTTGGTTCTTTAATTTTTGTTTCATCCATTTTCGTTAACTTGAGGTGCAATAGTGTGTTTCAATACACTTCAATACTCTCCTTTATTCCATGCAGAAAGCAACAACTAGAATCTCATTCAAATTGCTTATGTGCTCAAAACACCCAAAAAATAGTTATAACACTTATTATATTCGCCAAATTTATTTGTATAAAAAAAATTAATGGAAGGGAGCTTAATTGTTATATTTTTTCAGAGACCAACTGCAGATGCATAAAGTGTTTCTAAACACAAAATAATTGATTAGTGGTTTCAATGAATAGAACTTTTGTAGACCTAACAGTGTGTTAGTTGGGTATAACATTTAATGGAAATAAGCGGAGGGAAACTTTCTTCCGGGTATAACATTCAAATCACTTGGCATCTTTTCCCTCCCCTCATTTTGTCCCCTCATTTTCTTTTTCCCTATGTATACGTCTTTCACTCTCATATCTTCTTTTTTATCCCATTATCCATTCTTTGTACCAAATTGAGCATAAGAATGTAACAAGAACTGCCTTATATGACATGAGCCTGCATATAGATATGTTATTTTCCATGAACTTATTAGAGTTATATATGACATCTAGAATTCATACTGTACTAAAGTTTAGACAATAAGAAACAATCATATGGTTCAGTCACTTGGACATTGGCTGTGAATCTAAAGGCTGCAATGGCCTGATGTCACTCCAAAATCTTCCTTCTCTGATCAATTTAAATGGAAGCTGATAGAGCAGGATTTCTGTATAATAATGCTGTGGTTAGCTAGCATCACAAAAGTTTCTGTCTCATATGACCTTGGATAAGAATATTTTATATCATTCATTTGAATTTCATTGCCTCATAAGTTGCGCCTCTTTTTTTTAAATGTATATATATATATATATATAGATATGTTCTCCTTTATTTTTTCTTTTACAGAGAGAGGCCTTGTGCCTTCCAAGTTTTGTAATATTGGGTGTTTACTTGTGTGAAGGCTGACCTTCCCTGTTATAACTTAGGAGTTGACTCCTTACATTGACTAATTACATTTTTTATCTTTTATTCTGGTTCATGTTTATCCACTTCTCACTTCCCTGTTATAACTTAGGACTGAACTAATAAAGTGCATGTAGGCCTGTTCTTTCTAGTGAACTTTATTAGAATTTCTTCTCACAGATTTAGGACTGCGGCAACCTAGGTTGGAAGGAGAAGAATATCTATCAATTGTTGATGAATTCATGGAAGCTGTTTACACACGTTGGCCCAAGGCTATTGTGCAGGTCCATTTCGTTTAGAAGTATGACTTCTAAAGTTGGCTTTAATTAAAGATCATACTGGTAAGTTGATGTTTGGGTCAATCTTTTCAGTTTGAAGATTTTCAAATGAAGTGGGCTTTTGAGACGCTGCAACGGTATCGTAAAAGGTTTTGCATGTTCAATGATGACATACAGGTGAGTGCTATCTTTTAACATTCTGCTATTTTGTATGGAAATAGTGAATAATACAAGAGGACACTGTGAAGTGCTATGGTATTATTAAGGGTACTGTATTATAGGGAACTGCTGGTGTTGCACTGGCTGGACTACTGGGATCTGTAAGAGCACAAGGGAGGCCATTGGCCGACTTTGTGAATCAAAAGATGGTTGTGGTTGGAGCTGGAAGGTAGTGGCAAAAGAGATAGTGAACTGCAGTCCTAGTTTATTTACAACTTCCCATTAGCTACATGTAATTGTTATTGGCAGTTTTGCCTTGCATCATCTGATCTTTAATTGTCTTGCAGTGCAGGGCTTGGTGTTTTTAACATGGCCATGCAGGCTGCTTCAAGAATGGCAGGAACAACAGCAAATCCTCAATTTTTCTTGCTTGACAAAGATGTGTGGTTCTACACCTGTAATTTGCATTCTAGTGATGAAAACCTTAATAATATGTGTGCGTGTGTAAAGATGTGTTAAACATACTTTTAGGAGATGGTGCGATGGTGGTCTAATGATTTTGCATACCATCTACTTCATTCACGAGTTTCTTTTCTTCATGTAGTTATATAATCAGTTAGTACTCTGCATGTAGTGGAAAAAATCTATCTGCTGGGGAGAAGAAGATAGCAATGTTAAGTTGCGATTCATCCATTTCACCTTTGTTTGAGAAGTGTCTTCCTGGATGCAGGGTCTCATCACAAAAGAGAGGAAGAATATCGCTCCAGCAGCAGCACCATTTGCTAAAGCCCCAGGAGAGATTGAAGGATTAGGACTCAGGGAGGGAGCTAGTCTCGTCGAAGTGGTAAATCTTATAGGGATTCTTCGGCTGCATCTTTTGGTTGAAAGCTGAATCCAGGATGAATTCTAGACACACACACACAAAAAAGAAACAATTTAGCACTTATATTATAATTTCTTGAATACAAGAAAGTTTGGTCATTTGCCTTTAGGATTGTAATCTTCATCTTTCAGAGCTTTGCTACTCGTGTAATTTAGATAACTAAATGATTGGGCACAAAATGTTGTTCAGGTCAAAAAGGTCAAGCCTCATGTGCTTCTTGGTTTATCCGGAGTTGGAGGTATCTTCAATCAGGAGGTGGGCTCACGCTTAATTATACTTCCTCATTCTCTTTAACATCTTAATTTCAAATAAATAAATAGATAATTTAACAAGTGAAGGTTTCTTTTTTATGTCTGGAAATGCATATTTATCTATCTGGCTTCTTTTATGTCTGGAAATGCATATATATTGGTGAACATTTTTTATTGGAGCGATGAGCCTCAGCTTTCTACTCATATTTTGTCTCACAGAGGAATAGTTCTTCTACTGGAATTCATTAGCATTGCGAGTTTGTTTTGTCTTGTGTTTTTTATGTTGGCATTTAGAGTGTCTCTCTTTGTTTACCCATCTTTGTTTTTACTTTTCCAATGGTGTAGATGTATTTGTCATTCCACATTTCATGACAAACTTGAACCTATCAATTATATATAAAAAAAGAGTTGTTCATTAACTTCACCAGATTTTTGCATTTGTTCCCCTAATTGTGAACTACACCATCTCAGCAAAGTCTTAGACCCAATTACTTGGATTCAACAATTTGAATCCTTCTTTTATAGTCAGCTTTTTGTATATATTTTTAGTGTTACAAAGCATTGAAGTGCTGTCACCTGATTGTCATGTAATGAATATTACAATCAAATTTTGAATATGGTCAAGTGTGTACACTTCAATTACCAAAATTCCTTATTTTTATTGCTTGGCGTATACATCAGGTGCTTAATGCCATGAGGGAGTCGGATTCCACAAAACCTGCCATTTTTGCTATGTCAAATCCTACAATGAATGGTTTGTCTCTGCAAACTCTGAATCATTCACTTTTTATTTATGACTTCCTCTACACTACTGAGCATTCTCTTTGTATTCTATGGAACAGCTGAATGCACTGCCGTAGATGCTTTTACACATGCTGGAGAAAATATTGTTTTTGCAAGCGGGAGCCCATTTGAAAATGTTGATCTTGGTACTTTTCCTTTCCATTGATGCTAAATTTTTGTTTGGAACCAAAGAAGCACGGATACAGTTGCGGACATGATATGAATATGCAGAAAAATTAAATCTTAAAGAAGTGAGATATGGACATAGCAGTAAAAAGTATTATATATATATATATGTTAACTACCATCTACTCCAAAAGCTTAAGCTGTTGGAGAGGTGTAACTTTAATATTTTATATCCTCCAACAATATATATATATATATATATATATATATATATATATATACAACACAAATTACTTTATGTGAGTAAGTCTAATATTATGTGTATATAACATCGAACTTGTAACTTAACATCATACTAATTGTAATCATTCATGTTGTGATTGTATAGGTATACAGATAGATATATGTAAATGTATGTTGATAAATTGATGACTCCTCTTCTACTTGCTTAAGCTCTCCTTTAATAAGAGACTTATATGGCTCTTCTTTGTTAAATAATCATTCTTTTATAAATTTTTCCTTACCATTTTACTTTTTGTTGAATTAAAAATATTTTTTACTTACAGTTTTACCCTTTTCAATGATAAAAACAAGTCTTATCCAATGTTCAAGATTTATTGGTTGCAAGTTGGTGAATGCCCAGAAAGTGTCGGCCATATGTTTGAAATTAAGAATTCCGTATCTAGGTTTTAGATATATTCAAGATGTGTAAGAGCCCGTCTAGGAGTTTCTGAGAAGTTTTGGTGTCTCGACATAGAAATAAATCCTCCTTAAAACTATCCTTGTTTCTTAGTTTGGATTAATTGTACAAGCTACTATGTTTTACACATTTCTGGCCTTGTGGCCTGGTTATCTGAATTATTCTAACTTCACCAATTATTGTTTGTAGGGAATGGAAAATTTGGTCACGTAAATCAAGCTAATAACATGTACCTGTTTCCTGGGTACGTACCGATTGTTTACCTCACTATTTTGTGATCTCTATTTAATATTTTACAACAATTATCTAAAAGTTCCTCGCTTTGATTCAGGATTGGTTTGGGAACTCTTCTCTCGGGTGCTCATTTTATTTCAGATGGAATGTTACAAGCAGCTGCTGAGTGGTATGAATTAAACTAATTTCACCACTGTTCTTTGCTCTAACCCAAAAACTTCTTATCTTCATTTTAGAGAACTTAAACTAGACATTGGTCTTGACGAGATGTTATCTTTCCATGGCGGCTATGCAATTACTGACTACTAGAATGGCCTGCATGCTATGTGTGTGAGTAGTGTCAACTCTCAAGAAATTGGAAGGGTGGGGCTGGGAGTTACCGATATAAATTTTTGGTGTCCAATTCACTACTATTATGTTATTCATTAAGGTGATTACTATAAGTAACTTGGCCAGCTTTTGTCATTCACATGTTAAAACAAACTTGGTGGCCTAAAGGCCCTTCAACTTGAAAGATAATATAATATAAGATCAATACAGTTTCCCTTTTTCCCCTGTCGTGGGAATCCCCCCCCCCCCCCCGGCACCCAAAAAAAAAAAAAAGCAATAAAAAGACTACAAGGTTTACAGAAGAAATTTGAGGAACAAGGCTAGCGAGGCATATCTACCTTAAAATTCCTCTAGAGTCCATCCATGGTGCAGCAACACCATCTTCCTAGTTGTTGACAGGTTTTACTGTGCCCTTTCTTACAGCGGACTGTGTTACACCACAACACCACAACAGTGACACATGGGAAATTTTTTAAGAAAAATACTCCACCTACAGTTTGGTGTTTTACTTTGCATCACTTTAGAGTCCAGTTGATCTTGTGTTCATAATAATAATGTCAAACTGGCTCGTGCCTTTCTGTGTCTGTTGCAAGAAATGCTCATCTTGCCTTATCAGGTTGTTCACCCTGTCCTGTTCCCTCCATATGAGGTCATTCCTGGAGGTTCTAGTGAAATTTTCTCTTCACTTTTTGGCATATAGTTTTTAGTAGTCCTTTAAAACATTATAACTTTTAAGAATGAGAACGTTACTTGTTGAAGAATGAGAACTTTAGGGGTGCAAAAATAAGCATTACTGATTGATGTTAAAAAATGTCCAAAATAATTGAATAGTACTCCTTTTTATCTGAATTTCAGTTTGTAAATTTCAAGTTAATACACGGCTCAACTCAGCTCGACAAAGCTGTATTTCTTTTTTGTGATCATTTACATAAATCCTATTTCCGTCTTTCCACTCTATCTAGATTCATATTTTGGTTGAACCCCTATCATGTCTTTCTTTACTATCTCAACAATGTTAATCTGATCTTTACCTCTACTAGCATTACCCTTAACCTAAATGATTTCTAACATTATGGTGCAAGTTAATGCTTGGGAAAATATGCGGTGAGTGTGTGGGGTGCAGCACACATTCGAGGGAGTTTACGTAGCATATCACATGTTCTGTGTGAATTTCAAGAGATATACTCCTAATAAGTAAAATTGGCTTGTAATTTTCTTTTTGATGACTTGATAAAAACATTGAATGCTTTACTTGGGTGGAAACGCACGGTGTGGCATTAAGCCATGTGCTGGCCTGATATTGTTAACATAATTTATCTGTGCAGCCTTGCTTCTTATATGACTGATGAAGATTGTCAAAGGGGCATCCTGTATCCATCAATCAACAGGTAATACATTTTTAGCTTCTTCTAATATTAAGTGTATCTATAATTAATGATGTTAAGTACTCAGAGATATGGAGGCTATTGGATAATAGCATACTGTATGTGCTAGGGATGCTATAGTGCAGCCTTTTACACAAACAGGTGTGCACCTCGACCACCTGATAGCCTTCTGACAAACCCGTCTCTGGTCTGTAGGTTTTGGCTAAGTTCCAAAAATTGTTTGATAATCAGGTGGTTTTTGTTTCATCACTGACCGTAGCCTGTTGAAATTAGATATGATTATACGTGCTTATGCCTGTTTATGCATTTGCATGCTAACGTGTTTATATTTATTGGCAGTACATTGCCATTTCAATACTCCACAATTGTATGCCAAATGCTATTGTTGTGGTCTCTTCTCTAAATGGCAAAACTCGTTATATACCCACCCAGTCGAATAAAATGCCCAACTAAGGATATATTAGGACCCATTCTAATTTCTGTTTAGTAGCTTAATTTAATGTAAATTAATGATTTTTGAGTTTTAATTATAGGTGCAAAAAGAAACAAGTTATTTGTTAGTGCTATGGCTTATTCTAGATTTTGATTTTGCTTTGCACGATGTAGTATTCGACACATTACTGCAGAGGTCGGAGCTGCAGTGATGCGAGCAGCTGTTGCTGAAGAGTTGGCAGAAGGACATGGCGATGTAGGACCAAGAGAGCTAATGCATATGTCAAAGGTATGATGAGCAAAATGCATCGTTTTGGTAAAATGGCCATGGAAATGGAATAATGCTTATATTATATGATAGATTTAATCTAAATTCTACTCATCCCGAGATAGCCTTGGTACGAATTCTAACGTTATTATCCATATATGGCTTTATTATTTTGGATGCAGGAGGAGACAGTTGAATATGTCACGCGCAGCATGTGGTATCCTGTTTACAGCCCTCTCGTCCATGAGAAATAAGGCTCCAATCACTGGCCGTCTCCCTGCCCACCATTTTCCTCTGGACCAACTCCTTCCCCAAGTTCTGCAGTGAGTCGTATATTCATGGTCCCTGAACTTGTAATTTCCGATTGCAGAATTGGAATTGAAGCTCCTTCAATTCAAACAGGCCTTTGTGTTGTCAATGTCTTGAAAACCATTTTTTTTGGGTATCTTTTGGAGGTATCCTTGTGGATGGTCGATATGATTAAAATGTATTCAAAAGGGCTGAAATTAAATCATAATGAATGATTGCTACTTTATTTAGTTGAACTTTTAGTGAGAAGAATGGATGGGAAGAATGGGATGGCAAAAGGATACAAGGGAATGGATGTGTTGGAATTTTTTTGTTAATGTAAATGAACGGTCTGCGTGAAGAATAAAAAAAATAAAAAGTAAAAAAAACACCAATTTGGACTACGAAAGTATAGGCATATGAAAAACTAGAGAGAAAAAAAAAAAAAAAAAAAAAAAAAAATGTAAGAAAAAAACAGAAAAAGAAAAATTCATTTGGATTGGGAAAATGTTTAAACTTTAGCCTTATTTTATGTGGAAACAAATGGAAAGAACAGTTGTTTATTAAAAAAATAAAATCCCTTTTATTGGTTATTTTAAATTTGCATTGTTAATTGGGTATTCGACTTTAAAAAGAAATATCTTTAAAAACAAAAAGGTAAAGCAAAAAAAAAATAAAAAATAAAAAATAAAAAAAGAAAACTGAAGAGGCAAATGGAAATGGAAGGGATATGATAATTAAAAGTGGGACTTCATCTTATATTTATAGGGGTAGAATAAGATGAAGGGAATTACGTAAAAATAAAAAAATAAAGATTGAAGGCCAGCAACTCAAGACAAGTATGTAGATTTTTCTCCGGAGGAAGGGGCAAAAAGTGTCACCTGTGCCGAAGTCTGAGACTAACCTTCGTGCCAATTTGGTATTGGTGAAAATCCAATACAACAAATTAAATATCTAAAGTTATAAATTAGGGTCTCTCTATCTGCTCTCTCTCTAGCTAAATTTCTCTCTCTCGTTAAATTAGGGTTTCTCGATTAGGGTTCTCTATCTGTTCTCTGCCTAGGGCCTCACAATTTATAGACGCATGGATGATGGGTCATCAGAAAACAAAATTTTTTCTTTTTTTTTAGGGCAAATCATTTCGGCCTCCTCAATTTTTCCTCTACATTCTCGTTCTCAACTCTCAACTTGCCCTCTCTCTATCTCTGCAACTGCAAACTACAAAATCTACAAGAATCTTAAGTTCAAAACCCATATATTCCAGTTTATCTATCCGTGTGCAAGAATAAAAAGTCTTAGGGTAAAGTACATTAACACCCCCTCAGGTTTGGCATAAGGACAAGTAGCTACAAGTTGCTCTGTTTTTGGACACTCACACCCCCTAGTCAAAATTTTAATCCAAACAGCCCCTTAAATTTTTTAAAAAGTCAAGAATGCCCTTTAATATTTTATTAATTTAAATTATAAAATATCAAAACTTTTAAAAGACTCTTATACCCTTATACACAAATTACATCTGTATATATATATATATATATATATATATGCGTGTGTGTATATGTAGTACACTCAGCGACCAAAGCCACCACCGATCAACACCGTCGCGTCCCACTTCTATCAGTGCTCCGTCTGGTGACCCTTGCTGCCACCGCTTTCTGTGAATCCAATGCAGACGGTGACCCCTTTGTTTCTCTAACCTCTCATCAGCGGTGCACTAGTTTTTGTATTTGCCGACATCATTTGTGGTCCATTATGCCGGAGAAGATGGTGGAAGTGGCTCGCCGGAGGAAACAGAGAAGATAGAGATGCACCTCAATCCGACCCAATCAATCTAAGACTTACAACATTAAAATTACTGAATCCATTCATCAATCAGACCACCCAAACAACCCCCACCATCTCTCGCCGCCCATTGCACCACCACCGACACCTCGCCATAACCCACCATCGTGACACCTCGATGAGACCCACCCACCCAACCCCCACCACTACTGTCTCTATCTTTCTACCAGCAAATCCACAACATAAAATACAACACGAATCTATGTAATCAAAATCAATCTCTTCTCCAATCGGATTGAATCTCCATCTTCGTCTCCAACACAGTAGAACGCAGTGAAATTGTTGACCCATTTTCATCTCCAATCGAAACCCTAAACGATACGCTCTACATCTTAAATCAAAACCCCAATTTTCTCGCTGGAATTCTCTCTCGCCTTCGTCATCGCCGCCTCAATCTTCTCCTCGGACTTAACTTCATCACCGACGGCATTGGAGGGGTCGGAAGGCCGACGAGGGTTTAAATAGAGGGTTTTGGAGGGGGTTTGCGGAGATAGTGGGATTATCTTTCTTATGCTCCTCCGGCGGCAGCACGAATTTCTCACAATCAACCCCTCCAACGCCGGTCCATTTCCGACAGTTCTATCTACATTGTTCATCACCGTGATGAATTGATGATGCCGATGATGATGTGGTGGTTGAGGGATGATGATGATGCGGCGGCGGTATATGCAGTGGGGTTGATTTGTGGTGGTTATATATATATATATATAACACCACACAGAGAGAGATGGAGGAGAAGCTTTAGGGTCTGAGAAGGGAAAGAGAAAAAGAGGGTAAGGATAGAGAAAATTTGGGTTTATCCGATGGGTTGTACCCGATAACCCATTTGAACTTATTCTATTTAAGTCAATTGTATTTGTTAATTTTATATCAAAGGGTAATAAAGTCAATTCATCATTGCTGGGGTGTCTTTGTCCATTTTATCAAATTTGAGGGATGTGATTGTCCAAAAACAGAGCAACTTGCATCTACCTGTCCTTATGTCAAACCTCAGGGAGTGTCAGTGTACTTTACCCAAAGTCTTATTACCAACATAACAATTTTTTATTTTGAAATAACTAAAAAGTCAAAAAAATACCGTAGTTCAAAATTTTCATAGTTATTATTTTAATGATAAATGATTGTACCTTGTGAGTTTGAAAATTTCAAACACGAAATATCATTGTCATTGTATCAAAATCAAGTCAACCAAATCCTGCAATTGCAGTATCAAATCTGCGATCAAAAGTCTACAATACCCCCTTTAACTTTTTGACCATTTGACTGATTGTTTGTTTTTGCCCTTTATATATATATATATGTGCGCGCGCGAATCAACCAAATCCTGCAATTGCAGTATCAAATCTGCGATCCAGACCAAGACAAAAAGTCTACAATACCCCTTTTAACTTTTTGACCATTTGACTGATTATTTGTTTTTGCCCTTTATATATATATCTATACGCGCGCAGTGGGTTGCTATAAATACCACCACTATATTTTTAGGGTAAATTATTTCAGCCTCCCCAATCGCCTCCATTTCTATTCTCGTTCTTAACTCTGAGCTTCCCCCCTCTCTCTCTCTCTCTCTCTCTCTCTCTCTCTCTCTCTGTGCAACTGCAAATTACAAAATTTATAAGAATCAGAAACTCAATACCTATATATATATTTCAATTTATCTATCTGTCTGCAAGAATCAAAAATTCAAAACCCATACCGGCTTATTATTTCAAATTGTTCAAACCCAGATCTTTCAGTTTCCATCGCCCGCTGTTCTAGTTCGGTTTTGCCGTTCGCCAGCTTCAGCCGTTGGCCGGCTGTCTCTCAACTCTCAAGCTTGCCCCCTCGACCCTCTCTCTCTGCAACTGCTAACTTGTATGTATGGGTTTTGTTTTAATTTTTTTTTCTAAATCAACTAATCAAGGTCTGTGATTCTTGTTTTGCAAACTAAATCCTATATTTGGTGAAATTTTTTATGATCTTTTTTATATAATTTTTATTTTATTTTATGAATTTTAGTTATAAATATTTGTGAAAATAATGATTGAAACAGGATATCCCTTTGCAAAATTTGAAAGACTAATCGGTAAATTTGGGTTGAACTTGAGTCTTGAACAAGTTGAAGGCCTTTGGATTATAATTTTTACAATTTCAGCATCCTACGGTTCTACCATCTTTTAGGGTGCTTTCATCACTTCAGACTGGTAAGTCATTTCTTCAATTATTTAATATATATATATATATTTTTTATTCCAAATTTTTTAATTCTAATAATAAATTGGATGTTAACCGCATAAAGCATAAATCGGTCAATTAACATGGGCACCCAATTGTATATGAAACAAAGTACAATATAAAGTACTCCGTAACAAAATTTATTAATATATAAACAACAAAAAATTTCATTTTTTGTAAACTTTTGTGCTTTGAGAAACTTGGAGGAGCTTGATTTGAGTGTTAGTGTGAAAGGGCTGATTACAGTAAAAGGTATTATGGTGTTATATTCATTGCATTGCATTTTGAGGTAATCTACATTTTATTTCAGTAAAACAAATATATGTATTTTTTAATTCTATAACTTCTATTTCTGTTTTGTTTTGTTTTTTGCTTTTTTGTCATTTATGTCTACAAGAAAATTTGAATCTGGGCATGAAAAAAAAAAAAGAAAAAAAAGAAGAAAAGAAGAGAGAAGAAAAATTGATTCAATTTCAAAAAGACGTTATTCATAAGCTTTTTAGGAACAGCTTTTTAGGAACAATACACAAACAGAGAGTTTAGTTGAAGATTTGGTGAATGAAGAGTATAGGAATGAAAAAAATTTTAATGAACATGGAGATTTAATAAATGAAGATAGGAATGAGAATCAAAATGAAAAAAATGTGAATGAACTTGAAGATTTGGTAAGTGAAGAATATATGAATGAGAATGATAATCTTCTTTTGAACATTAATGATTCAGGAAATTGAAAAAAAAAATGAGAGATTTATTAGTTGAAAGAGGTCCTCCAAGAGATGCTAAACTTAAAATTTTTCCTAATGATTCAAAAAATAGACATTTATTTTTGTGCGTGTGAAACTTTATATATAAAGGGCCTCACATTAAAGTTCGCCTAGGGCCTGTTGAGATTTTTTCAATCTCAGGTCCAGCTTATGGTTTTCTTTTCTCTTTTTTTTTTTATTTTTATTTTTTCTTCTTTCTTAATAGTTTACTGATTTTGGGTTTGCCTCGGAAAATGCTTCGAGATATATCAATCTTGCATAAATCTGGATGGAGGCGGTGAACCTTACCGGTCCAGTTCAAGTTCCAGCCTCGATTCTAAGCTGTTAGATCCCAATTACAATCTGGATTTCGGATCCGGATCCTCATATGATTCCAATGATGATGATCCTGACCTGCCTGGGTATCCCGATCCGTTGGAGGATCCGCCCCGCCTGAC